CTGGCTGGGGAATTCTGGGAGTTGAAGTCCACCCATCTTCAAGCTGCCAAGGTTGAGAAACACTGCTGTAAAGCCTTCGCCCATCGGCTCTTGTCTTACCTTCAGGTGCTGGGAGAATAAATCCACCCCCTTTTCCCTGGGACGTCCCTTCATGAGGACTGCTGTCATGTCTCCCCTTAGCCTTCTCTTCTGTCTCACGCACGGCTAATTTCAACTCCTTGGTTCTGTTCCTGCCATTCAGAGTGACAGAGAACAAGTCCACTCGTGCCCATTCCATGGCAACTAAGGAGGAGGTGCACCAGGTGAGGCCTCAGGGCCCCACGGAAGTCTTACATGTGGCCCCCAGAACTCTTCCAAAAGCTGTCACCGGGTGGCCATTTTTAATGTGGCAGAAAGGAGGCAATCGCTACATTCACGCCCTGCAGACTGCATGCATGTCCATTCACTGGGTTTTATTAATGGCATTTTAATTCAGTTCGCCTTCAGTTGCACTTTGCACATGTCCTGGGCTCACACGCTTTGCCTTTGCTCAGACGCGCGTACTGGAGCGTCTCAGTTCAAAGATCGAGAGCCTTTGATTGCAACATAAGCAGGACATCCATCCTTTATGAGAAAAAGCACTTGAGGATGATTCGGTGAGTGCCTTTCCTTGTGCAAATGGCGTGGGAATCTTTCCCAAAGGAAAACAAAGTGCGTGCATGCTCCTTTCGACTGTTTTCCATCTTTTTTTTATATTAAATCAATGAAGAACAAGGCATATATTTTTATGAATATGCCAGTTAATCGATACACACCCTGGTCTTCATTTAAAAAGAAAAGATCCAGGTTGTTCACAGAATAAAAAGCAAAACGTCAGCAGAATCCTTCATCATCTACTCTTTACGTTCCACCATTACTCACATTTGAGTCTGCAGCGAAGCAAAAATTCCTGAAGAAAGCAACTGACCATCTCAGCTTAGGTCTTTTTTCCACCCTATTTCCTCGGCACGCTCCGTCAGTTCTCATCTGGGTGGTACTCAGAAGAAACCTGCAGGATCACAGCCCGATGCAATATTGCCCCCTCCTGCCTGCCTGTCCCCCCCCTTCCACGCTCCTTGTCCACAGTGAGAGGCCACTCTGTCTCCCAAATTGTTTCCCCCCAAAGAAGAGCCACTTCGCTGGGGCTGCTGGAAGGGCGACTTCCGAATGGGTGGGCAAATGCAGGCGGGGTTCATAAATCTACCTAGCGCCCCCTTCATAAATCTACCTGTCACCCCGCAGCAGTGGTTAGGTGGGCACAGGGAAGGGTGTCTCTGCCTGAGAGCCACTGGCACCAGGTCTCCTTGACCTGCTTGGACACCTTGGGGATTGTATCAGGAACCTCCTGTAAACAAAATTGGGGCTCTGCAAACTCCTCAGAGACCTGGTTAGAACAGGGGTCAGCAACTTGGTGCCCAAGGGCATCGACCTGCCCGCAGATCCCTCCCTTGATAGTCAAGAGGGTCCCAGCCCACCAGTTTTCAAATACTAAATGAGG